ACGACAAATTTAAAAACTCAAATCACAACACTGATTTTCTTTTTTATTGAGAAAATTAACGTTTTGTTAACGTGACAGTGAACGCAGCGGCCGCTCCTAAACGCACCTCCACACGGAGGAGAGACGACACCAGTGATGCCGCACACAAACAACAGAACCCGGTGAAAGACCTGGTAAATCCGTCCATAACGCTCGTACTCCCTGTCGTATAATGGGAACTTCATTACATTCAACTAATGCCGTTGTATAATGATGCCATTAGCATTTCATTGATTCCTTAAGTTGGCCGCGCTCCTGCAGTTAGAGTTGGGCTGCCTTTCAAACTGAGGGCGAGGGTTCAATTCCAGGCTGCGCTAATTTATCCCTGACCAAAACACTTGACCTCACATTGGATGTGGAAGAGTGACTGGAGCGTGGAGAGGCGCTGTAGAACCACAGACCATTAACCATACCATCCATCCCCTTCACTGGCGCTTAATTCTCTCCAGGGTCATAGGAGGAGCTGGAGCCAATCCCAGCGGTCATAGGGCGAGGGCGGGGTCACACCGCCTGTCCGTCATAGAGCCACCCACAGAGACAAACAACCAGCCACACTCATTTATTCCTATGGTCAATTCATAGTGTCCAATTAAGTGAAGTCTTTGTGTGAAGAAAAAAAACAAATCTCTCACTCCGAGAACGCCAGCTAACGCTGTGAAAAAGGACGGTCAGGGACCGCTCTCTACGCCCGCGTGACCTTTACCGTCTGATTATAGATGATTATGCTAATTGGTTGCAAATGACAATAATAATAAAATGTTAACTGTACCATCATTTCACTCCGAAGGTAAAAGAGCAAACACTCATGTGACCTTATCAGGAATCAACACACGAGTAAAACCACACGCTGTACCTGAGCCGTCAGAACGATGATGATGATGATGATGACGATGATGATGAAAATGTGTTTTTTTTCTCCTCTTGAACGATCTTTATTGTGTAATATTTTCTGTGTGTGTGTGTGTGGAGGAGGCAGACGGCTGTTTGAAAACCCATTTATATAAAAGCTGACACTCAGCTCAGCCTGAGGCTCTGAGTGAAGAGGATGACACAGTGTGATGGTCAGATTCTCCACAGCTACAGTATCCTTCAGAGATACTTTACTGTAGAACTGCACTTCAAACTGCAGTACACGTGATGAGCAGTGATTAGGTCGATGGATTACTGCAGTAAACCAACCATGTCATCAGAAATGTCTGTGTAGGTTCTCAGTCATCGAGGGCGACTGGACGGAGTGGGTCTTCAGGAAACCGACTCCAGTTGCCCTCGATGTAAATATTTTCGGATCAACAGAACTGTTTTTAAATCGTTTCCTCTCCTCTCCTCTCTCCAGTTAAATGAAACAGCCAAGCAGCTAATGGAGATCGACAAACCTCAGCCAGCTAACGTGCCGGGGCCAAGCTCCGAGCCGGCACCTTTGGGCCCCTGCTCCCCCGGCCCCTCGCCGGGCTCCTCTCCGTCCAACGGGAACGGCTCCAGTCACCGACGAGGCGAAGGGAAGAAAAACGCCAAAAAGAGACACTCGTTTACAGCGCTGTCCGTCACCCACAGGGCGGCGCAGCTCAACAACAGGCACAGCATGGAGATCTCCCACCCCGTCCTCATCAGCTCCTCCGACCCCAGAGCTGCCGCACGCATCCAGGTGTGGACACGCCCGCTGTCTCTGTGGTTCAAGTCGCTCCTTAAACCATCAGTAGTTCATCGACAACGTTTAGTAGCATTTTCACTGTTGCATTTTTAATGTTGTATAGTCAGCCTTCAAGCACATATCAAAAGTGTTGTGCGTTTTAGCATTTTCACTGTTGCATTTTTAATGTTATATAGTCAGCCTTCAAGCACATACACACCAGCTCTCTCTCTCCCTCTCTCTCCCTCTCTCTCTCTCTCTCTCTCTCTCTCTCTGAGGACACGGTCCCTGATCGCCGGCTCTGACAGTTTCATATAAACACCATCATTTCTCTCTTTCGACAACCTTCAAGTACACCAGCGTTTCTTTTTTTTTTTTTTTTTTTTTTTTACACCTGTTGCCTCTGGTTGCAACGACACCTGAGTTCAATGTATTTTTCTTGTCTGGGAATCGTACCCAGGATGCATACTAAGAAGCTGATAAGGATGCAGGAACGATCTGGACTGCAAAAAAACCCCTTCATTCATTTTCAGTGAAAACCACTCATGTTGTGTCTCGCCGTCTGTCCCCAGGATGCGTCTCCCCCCGGTCCCTCTCCCTCCTCGGCAGGGGTACAGGTGCCTCCCAAAGTGGCATCAATAACCTCTGAGCTGCTGGCCCATGCCAAGGTGCAGCTGCCACTCAACATGTGAGTACACCTCAGGGTGCTGTCAACACACTCCACCTGCAGCCTGAGACGCTCCTCACAGCTGCCTGTTCTGTCTTATCAAACTGGATCTGTGCCCGAGATACAAATATGGTTTTTGAGAGCGCCTCCTGGCTGTGGTAAAAATATTCCTCCTTTTGTTCTCGGAGATACTGGCCGCGTTCCACCGGCTATGCAGCTACATTTACACCTCCACTGGTCAAGAAAGAACGCCCTCAGAAAGGACGGACACACACACAGGCACGGTTAGATCTGTGTCTCGTCTATGCTAATGTTTAGTCAGGGTGAAATTCTTTGGTTTTTGTTTGAACAGTTTTTGTCAGATGTTCTCGCTCAAATCTGTTCACCTCAGGATTTTAGGATTAGGGATAATACTTCACTCTGTTACTGTGGTACAAATACTTGTACACATGTAAGTCCCTAATACTGGATCAGCCTTACAGCAGGAAGTGATGTTTTTCGATATTTTAAGAACTTTGAAATTGAGAATCCTCTCTGAATGTGTGGAAATAATCGTTAATTTTCAACTAAATATGATCGGAAATATTTCATCGCTATTTTTTCATTTGACTCTCTTTGACCTTCGACTTCAATCTTACACTTATAGTGGTTCATTAGTGCAGTGGTTATCACGCCTCCCTTATGCATCTGCCTTGAATGCAAAAAGTGCAGGGTTCAAACCACACAGGAACCGCATACGTAATAGTGCCTCCAGTGGCAGACTGCGTGAGTTGCAAAGACTCACACTGAATTTCCCAATTTTGCGACAAATAAGGCACTCTTCCAGTACTAGTATCAGCCCTTTGTATTGGCTCCATGTTGACAGATGATATTTATTTTTGTGAATGGACCAAATTTAAACATCATCCATTTTGATTCACCTCTAGTAAATTTCAGTTTTATTCTTTGTTGGTGGATAAAAAAAGAAAAAATAAGTGCAAAGATAAAGCGATAAACGTTAATCTCTTAAACTGCCGCTCTTCCCTGTGTCGAAATCAGACTCCAAAGCTCCGAGGCCACGGGGGGAACACGATTACTGAGTTTATTTTAAATATATCTCCACAAATGTGCCCGGAAATTAAATTCATTTGCAACGCCCGACTGTCACATCTGTAATGTGACTAACTGTGCACAGAGGAACAACTTCACGGGCTGCAGTTAGACGCTGTGTCACGCAGCTCAAACAGGCCAGCAGTCAATTTAGGAGATTGAAAGATTCAAAGCTGTAAAAATGTTCTCCATCCGATCGACGGATGTTAACGTTGTCACTGTATTGTCACTTGTTTACTCAGCTCTAGACGACTGGTGAGGTGCCAAGTGCTTTTATAACTTACCTTGTAATTAATGTACCAGGAGCAGGAGCCGGAAATACATCGTCTAAAAAGAGATCTTCAACTTGTATCTCCGTGGCAGAGCAGTTTGCGTCTTAGACCTTGAGAGTCGAACTGTTTGGATACTTTCTTTGAGGAAAGTGCTGACATTCGCTAAGCCCCTCGCCTCCTTCCGAGTTGAGAATTAAGTTTGAGGATTATAACAGAAGTGCTTTACATCAATCAGGGCCAAGGTGAGGGCGTAAGGTAAGCAGTTCACCGTATCCTGCCTACAGGGTTAGGCCACAGTCACATTCAATAAAAATGTGATGTTTAGTGAAGTTCTGCTGCTCACACAAATCCTATCCCACACACACACACACACACACACACACACACACGTGTACATAAATCAAGTCACGCGTTCACAAATGTTCGTCAGGAGCTGATGAGGTCAGACGTTTCCATCTTGACCTGGCAACCTTGTCTGTTGCCATGGGGAGGCAGGAGACGGTCCCTGCATCTGTTACCATGGCAACGGGAGGCAGTGCATATAGGGCTTGTTTACTCTCTGGTCATATTGTTTTCTGTTAGACTCTGACACCACATACAACCTGTGTCTCCCAGCGACGGCGACAGAAACTAATTTATATGTTAAACCCTGGGGGAAATACAACAACGCTCAGCAAATAAACAAATTAACAGACAGTGGAGGGTTGCCAGATCCTGTATTATTCAGTTTTACCTGTTGCCGGGCATGTTAACAACATGGTTCTGCTATAATGAAAAAATATATATAAAAACACAGGTGTGTGCAGTTTTTGTACATGTATTAAAATGTGGGGTTTACCTGCAGGTATTTCCCCTTCCTTGGCCTATTGGTGGCGCTAAGTTATGATAAAAAAAGCGTATTTGTTGTATAACTCACTTAAAAAGGTGTCATTTTAGCCTTTGACTGTTTTGTTTTGATTTCCAAATTGATCTTCTAAGTCAGCCGATGAGCGATGACATTGTTTCTGCACAATGTAACTCACTGTTGAGGTGAATTGCCTCCAAGAGAGATTTTGATTTTTTTTTTCTCCTTCACTCTTGTTTTTCTTCCCAGATATTTGGCACTTTACGCCTACAAGCCCCAGAAGGCTGACGAGCTCGAACTAAGGAAAGGCGAGATGTATCGAGTGACAGAGAAATGTCAGGACGGCTGGTTCAAAGGCACCTCACTGAGAACAGGTGCCTCCGGTGTCTTTCCTGGGAACTACGTCACCCCGGTGTCCAGGTGAGTGATCTCCGGCTTTAGGGTGGCGCCCGCGGCTACTCTGATGGCGGGGGAAGTATCGTCTTCACATCCGGATAAAACGAAGTAGCAATCAAAGTAGTATCACGTATGGGAAACAGTTGTGATGACTTCAGGATAGAACAGAGAACCACAACTTTTACTTCACTGGAACCTAGTCCTGCTCTACTGGCATTATCACCACTAGAATGTGGAGGTCAACTCTGATTGGACCACGGTCTGACATCACAAATAACCCTGGGACTGCTTTAGTTCTGCTGGTGGCTGATAGAAGGAAATGATTCCTAAAATGAGGACCTGGGACGATGCTGTTGAAGCGACTCCCTCTCATTATTACTCTATGGGCGACGTGAAAACATTGTCGGCAGCTGATATTGTTGTCTGCCTCTCGCTCAGTGATGCAGGAAAAAAAAGGCAGAAAAGTATAAACCGGGGAGATTAGGGATAATGGATAGAAAAGAAGCAAAAGTGAAATAAAAGAGAAGGAGATAATGAGACCATGAGAAGAGCGATGTGATACTTTGGGAGACGCCGCTGATATGTGACACATAAAAAGATGAAAGGGAAGGGAATTAGATTGAAGAAAGAAAATAGTGGGGAAATCACTAAGATGACGATAAAGACCGAGAGTGGAGTTAAGGAGGCGACGGATGAGGTGGCAGTGAAACAGCAGGGGGCCCTCCACTGGGAATGAACGCTGGCCTCATGCTTTACAGGTATAGGGAGAGAGGGACGGGGAGAGAGAGAGAGGGAGAGAGAGAGGGAGGGAGAGGGTGGGTGAGGACGAGAGACTAATCAAAAGAGAGGCAATTTGTTATTTCTATTCTCTCCTTCTTACTCCACCCCCAGCCTCACACCTCTTCCCCTCTTTTGTCTGCAGTGCAGCTCAGAAATTTCTCAATATGATAATGAGTGGCTGACACACACAGACTGACACACACACACACACACACACGCACGCACACACAGACAGCCAGTGCATGCTGAATGTATTGATGTCGTTCTTTGTCACCAAACTGCCGTTGAACATGAACCGTTAGCTCGACGCCAGTGTTTCAGATGAAAATTAGCAGATTATAAATAATCTGGTTTAAAGGTGGACTAGGTCAGATTTAACACATTTAACCCTCTCATGACACAGACACAGGAACATGGAAGTTTTTGTCGCTCGCTTTGACCCCTCATGGTCCTGCGCCGGCCAGGAATCAAACTGGCAACCCTCTAGTCCTTTAACAGCAATTTGGCTAAATTAAAATGTTGGTAAAGAACTTTTTTTGCACGTCATTATCATTTTTCATAAGCTACATCCTGAAGAAGCTCACGAGACGATGTGTGAAAAGTTAACGTTCGAGCGAGATCCATATCCTGTTGCGCTAATGAACTCGTCTGTGGACTGCGTTGCCTTTTCCTCAGATTTTCACAGGGTTCTTGCTAACTTGTAAAACAATGTCTTCAAACTGACACTGTCACCACTTTGGACAAAAGAAATATCAATAAAACAAAGAATTACATTTCTTAAAATGATAAATAGAAATTAAACTAAATTAAGACCAGAAAGTGAGCAGAGCTTTAAGTATTTGAATTAGGCCTAATAACAACACTAGTCTTAATAGGTTAACACTTAATAAGTGTGTCTGAAAGATAGAAACCAGCTGTGAGGTCTACATAAATATCGACCACCCTGAAATACATCAGGTCTTTAAAGTTACCCACAGGAAATAATCCTTTTTTTAAAAAAACTAAAAAAACAACCCTCACATCAGGAAAAAATACTAAAAAATCATGTGTTTTTTTTCCACGTTTGTTTGAAAGAGCTCGTGAATAACGTCGGTGTTTTCTGCTCGTACAGTAGAATCACGCGCACGGAGAAAGTCATAACTCGGCGTGTGTTTGACAGAAAGTCGATGGGCAGCCGTGAGGGTGTGAATACCGCTGTGTCAATAATGTTCGGCTCCCTCTTCTTGCCATTCAGCACTCTGCAGACGGAAACATGAGCAGCCTGCAGCTCCATACATGTTACAGCAGGACTCGATGTTACGCTGATCCACCCGTCAGATAATAGCGCTGAAATCGCTCACCCTGACAAAGCATAATGGTACCGTTTGCAGCTCCCGCCCTGCTATTATGAAGAAAACCACTGGTGATTAACATTTTGTTCAAAACAAGTGAGCCCACACTCATGTTAGTGGCTTTCTGAGGCTGAGCCAAGGCACATTGTTGCTTTGAATTAAATGCTATTTTTACGTCCTCGTTGGCACAATGGAGGGTTAGCACCACATCCTGTCTCAGATGTATCATAACCACGTCACCATGTCTGGTTCTGATACATTTCACTTTAAACCGCACATCTTACCATTACGTAGAGGCTGGAGGAAAAAGTCGTAGATCATGTCAGACCTGTCAGGTCTCTGGGCACAGTGGGTGTCTGCCTGTCTGTCCCACAGGAGTGGAGCTCTTTGACAAATTTGGACTTTGATCAATGTGGATTCCATTAGACTAGAGCTTGTTTTGGGTTTTTTTTGCAGTCATTTTTTTTTTCAAAAATATACCACATAATCTTACATATAATAGATGCAAGAATTAAAATGACTTATACAGTAGATGGATTAACTAACACAGTGATTCTTAACCATAGGGTCGTGGCACAAAGTTTGGCAGCCAGCACCCCCTGGAGGGCCACAAAAAATCTTTCAGATTTGTCCTGTGGGACACCAGAGATATGTTGTCCAAGTGAAGCTCAGTTACAGTGCAATTTTTGACCAAATGGTGGCAGTAATGCACTAGTCAGTTCTTTTACACGCTCCAATATACAGTGAAGAAGACAGTCTTCTTCTCTGCACCAGCTGTAGCATGGAGTATGGAGTATGGAGTACTGGAGTAGTATGGAGAAGTATTAACCCCCGCCCCTCTAAAGCAGTGTTTCCCAAACTTTTTTTTTGGCAACCCATATTTTAAAAGTCACAAACCTTCACGACCCAAGTCAACAGACATTATTCGATAATTCCTGAGAAACATGATGCTAGATGACCCCCAAAAAACCTCTTGCGACCCATCTAAGGGGTCGCCGACCCAGTCTTTGGGAAACAATGCTCTAGCGGCTACATTAGTGCGTAGGTACCATCTCAACTTCATCAAATCTAATATTTAGTGAGTCCCTGCTTCGTAGTGTAACAATTGGGCCAAAGTTTTAGGTTTGTAACCAATTATCATGCATTGTTATGAAAACAAGATCGGCTTCTTGAAAAAAATAAAAAATATGCTGTGATTATGGGGAACTTTTAATGAAACCTCCAACACTCTCTCTCCTCCAAAGGGCACCGTTTGGAGTCGGCTCTCCCCGGAGCTCATGCCTCTCCAGTCCAGTCGGTCCAAGCGGAGGTGGTGGAAATGGATGTGGGCAGGTGGGAAATAAAACCTCGGACCCTTCGTCCCCGGGGGCACCTGGCCCCTCTTTGCCCCGTCCCTCCACCCCACTGATAAGCTCTGCCAACACCATTAGCACCGTCAGCCCCGCCTCCTCGCCACAAAGTGCCGCCGCCCAGCTGAAAAACTGTCTGCGCTCCAGCCAACACTCGACCAACCAGGCTCGCACCTCAATGCAGCTGGGTGAGCAGAAACAAACACACACACACACACACACACACTGGGTGAACATGCTGATGTAGAAATGAAACGACTGATGCGGATGACGAAGAGGAGAGAGGAGAGGTGACTCCTGTTACAACCCTCCCCCTCCTCACCCCCCTCCCACCCCAGAGACGTGTAAAGTAGGAGTTATTTATGACACGGAGACTCGTCTCCGTCTGGTTTTCCTCCAAACTTCCTCCTCTGCAACATCAGCCGCCTGCAGCCCTCGGCAGCCAGGAGGCGCTCCACAGGAGCACGGTGCAGGTCTGTGGGGACCTGGCAACATTTTACTGGCCTGGTCTCTCATTACAGAATAATAGAATATTGATCGGCCATTAATTCAAGACGCCTCTACAGTATGAAGGAGGAAAAAAAAAACCTTGTCAGCCGATGATGTGAGAGGCTGGTTCATTCTCCAGGCTCTTCAGTCTGGACGGCCATGTGTAAAGATGAAACAGAAAAATAATAAAAATAAAAAACATTGGATTCATATCCTTAAAGGTACAGAGTGATTTAGATGATAAATAAAAAAAAAATACAATTCTCAGGTGGAGAGACAGTCCACTGAGTTGACATGTTGAGCAGGTGGATTCTGGTCCATTGAGTACAGTACAGTACAGTGCAGTACAGAACAGTACAGTACAGAACAGTACAGTACAGTACAGTACAGTACTCTAAAGTGAACACCATGATGAAAACCTGTGTTCAACTCAGTGACAGATAAAACTCTTCATATCTGTACAATAATCACACACTCATCGCTGCGTTTGTGCGACGCGGGGCCTGCTAAGTGTTAGCCTCGCGCTTCACTCTTGTCTATTTGTTACATTCAAGTATTCCTTTTCTTCTTCTTCTTCTTCTTCTTTGTGTGTCTTCTGTCTCCCTGAGAAAATAATGTTGGAGCTCAAAGAGTACACGCTGCCAAACCAATGACGAGACACACACACACACACACGCTGAAACAGCTACACACATTCAGACAAGTGTGTGCACCGACATTCACATCGGCGCAAATGAGCCGAGACTCAAAGAGACGAGACGATGATGTCATTTTGTGTGGGTCTCTGTGTGTGTGTGTATGTTTCTGGTGTAACTGTACTAGTGGGGACACTTTTTTTGCTGGTTTTCTGGTGTAACTATACTAGTGGGGACATTTTTTTTTGCTGGTCCCTACAGACTGAGAGGATATTTTGAGGTTTGAGATTTAGTTTGGAGAAAGGATTAGAGCTGGGGTCAGATTATGGTTTGTTATGGATTATGATCAGGCCTTGGTTTGGAGATGGATTAGGACTGAGAATGGATCTCTGAAATCTTTTTTTGTCGTCTGGGGTTTTTTAAGTGAAGAGCTCCAAAAACACAAAAAAACAATATGTGTGTGTATCTTTGTGGAGGATTACTATTGTTTTAGGGACCGTTGCACGAGATTTAATTTGGAGTTAGGATTAACGGTGCAGATTGAATCTTGAGATAAGGCTTGTATCTGTAAAAAAAAGAGTGAGAATAAGAGTCTGCGGAATGTGTTTTTTTTTTCGTAAAATGCAGAAAAACATAGGCTTGTGTGTGTGTGTGTGTGTGTGTGTGTCTTTTTGTTTTATGGAGGCGTAATGACAGAGCTTCATGGTTCACTTTCTCCACCCTTTTTCTGTTTCCTTTCTCCCACAAACTCACACACACACACAGACATATGAACATCCACACACACACACACACACACACTCACTCACACATGCATGCATCTGGTACTCATTACAAAATAAAGTATGCACACAGTTCTGGCATTTAGTGGTTTTTTTAACTCGGCCAGTTTCGTCTCTCTGTGGATTTCTGTCCGAGCGCTGCACTCGGGAAGAGCAGGTGGCTCCAAGAGTGTGTGTGTGTGTGTGTGTGTGTGTATTTTATGTGTCCACATGAACTCCAAATGTCCTCCTCCAAAGTGAAGGATGAAAAATGCCCTAAACATTTAAGAGTTTCCTTCTGTCTGCGTTCCAGCCTCAGGTTAAACTTTGATTTGTTTCGTTTTCCTCCAGTGTTCCACAGAAAGAGACGAGTGTGTGTAGCATGAACTTTAAAAAACACAAATATTACTCGTTACATTTCTGTTCACTGTAGTCGTTCAATTCTGCTTGATTTCCCCCAGTGCATGCTGGGAACGGGCTGGGAACGTTATTTGAATACAGCTCTTCAGAATAAGTGTGTCGAGTGTCTTTTTATCTCCTCGTACAGTGTCAGGATATCGGTTTTATATGTGGCAGCGGCTTTTGTCAATGTGTGGGCGTTGAACTCTCCTTTAATGCAAATGAGTTCATTGTAGTTTTTTTTTTTAACAAAAGTTCAGATGAAAGTTGTACCTAAGAAAACTGTGGTAGGAATTATTAATTGAAAATTAGGACATTGGTCCTATTTTACTACTATATAGCAGTGGTCCCCAACCCCTGGGCCGTGGACCCACACCGGTCCGTGGGTCAGTTGGTATCAGGCCGCTCAGAAAGAATACATAATTGAGATTATTTTTAGTTTTATTTATTATCTGATTCTGAACTTATTTTATTTTGATTTACCAGATGTTTAAAAAAAAAAATAAAGTCAAATTTTAAATATTCACACAGAGCTGAGTATAAGACTTTATGTGTTGCTATAATTGAGACATTTTCCTTTCCTTTCAGTCCACAGCCCACCAGCCAGAAGCCCAGAGCGCCCCACGGTGGCCGTTTACCCCCTCCGATCTCAGAGCTCCTCCCCCTCACGTTGCCCGGGACAGTCGGGTCGCCCTCACTCCATGGTTTCTCCTGGATCCAGTTTAGGACCCTCACCCCTGTCTTCGCCCGCCTCCCGGCCCCTCCTCCCGCTCTCGTCTCCGTTATCGTGTCTCACGCCTCCCAACGTGTCAGCAGTGCTCCTCAACGGAGAGCCAGTCATTCCCCTTCAGCCTCCCTCACCCGGACCCTCCCACGTCCACACCCAGGGCACCCTCGCTCCCAAGGCCGAGAAGGTGAGTCTCAAACTCTCAGTCTTTATTGATTTTAAATCCATATAGAAGAGCCCGATCCAATACCTGATGTCGTATTGGTTTGTTTTGAGTCTGTGATGCTGCTGATAGGTTAGAAACATCATGGATTAGAGCCAATCAGAAGCAGAGGAGGCCAGGTCTCTGAGCAGAAAACCAGGTCTTCAACCTGGTGCCAGAGAAGCTTGAGAAGAACGGTTTCTGTCAGAACCAGAGGATGAAGTCAAAAATGAAAAAATCAAGGAATGACAGTAAAGAAAAATAGACAGAGAATTCCAGAAAATTCTAGGTTCATTTTAAGACAATACTTCAAAATAAAAAAATAAAAATCATGAAATTGATATATTAAAATATTCATTGAAGTTGAATTGAAAACAAAGCCAGTAGAGGTCACTGCAGTTGACACTTGTACTGTGCAGAGACACTTTATGAATACTGATAAGTTAAAGGTTAACAGTCACACACAAAAACACAAAAGATGTTTTGAAAAATTGAGATCAACTTTTAGTTTGTTTTTAACATTAAAAATGTGTCTTTTATTTCCGTCTGTACAATAAATAGATGAAAAGGATTAAATTAAATTTTACTTCTGTACAATAAATAGATGAAAAGGATTTTTATTACATTTTACCCTGACTGTAGGGAATTAAAGACAATAGAAGAAAATTTAAAACAAAAATCACAATTTTGGTCCAGTTAAAACAGCGCCTCCTTCTAAGTGGAGCTGCGCGGCGTTGATTGTTTTCTCATTAACCAACGTAGTCGATAAAGAGTCCAAAAATAGTTTCCGTTACAATTTTCAAGCTGTTGACTTTAAATTGCTTTTGTGCAATCAACGCCAGATAAAATAAAAATATATTGATTTGCCGGCAACAACAGCAATTACCACCTGAGGCACAAAACCAAGAAGATGTGTGGTGGTTTTGATTAAATACAGTTTAAATAATAAAAAAATATAAATATTCTGAAGCTGAAGTTGCTGCCATTTGATGAAACAGTTTTTCACTCAATCATGTCCCACCGTGAGACGGATGTTCACGTTGTTGAATTGTTGACTTTAAAATGGGATCCAACTGAGTTGGAGCCACACGGTGGAACAGGGGGTTTTTGGCATGCCTTACAGCCAAATGTATATTCTGGTTTGGTACTATGGTTTCCTCCGATGGTCCAAAAACATGCAGAATTAGTTGTTCAGGTGTGAATGAATATATATACAG